ACCTACAAATAGGAGAAGTATTTGCAAGAGAAAGAGGTCAGAAAAAATAGAGAGATTCTTGTGTATTGAAAATCCTCACCCCCCCCCCCCCCCCTCCCACGTACTCTAAAAACCAGAACTATCCACAAGAATCTCTATCCTTGAGCTTAGAAACCAAAATCTTCAAATCTCCCAAACCTTTCATTTATGTCCAAACAAACCATTCACATACTTCATATACATCATATAGGAGTTGTTCAAACACAAGAACAATTTCTGTAAAATCATTATCTCCACTTTCTAAACTCAAAAACATTGTCTTCCAATTTGACTTGGTTGGAAAGATTCAAACACTTTCAGTACAAAGTAAAGATTGGAACAACTTCAAGAAGGTCTAAGGAAGCTCAATCAATCATCACATTGCAACTAGAAACATCCATACACATTTTCAGTTTTCATTTCAAGAGGTACGTTTTCTCAAACTGTGATATCCTTGTTCATACATCATTTTACTTTCGTTTCCAAAAGAATAAAACGGGGCAAATCAAAGTAGAAGAGTTACAAACACTAAAAATCACAAAAAAGTTCTTCTGGAAGTCTGAAAAGGCCGACCGTGTCACCTGACACAGGCAGTGTCAGGAAGAAAATAGAAAAAAATGGCAAGACAAGGCTCTGACACGGGTGCCCGTGTCCCACATACTGGAGTTAAAACTTGACAAAATGGCAGGACAAGGGCCTAACACGGGTGCCTGTGTCAGCACAACTGGGACAAAAAAAGACATGCCTAATTATTACAGGGTTCTGACACGGGTGCCCGTGTTACAGGACACAGCCCGTGTCAGCTTCAACACCAAAAATCTTGATTTTTTTGAGACTTTTTTGCTATTACTTTTATTCAATTTGGTTGTAATAGTAATTAAGTTTTAATTGCTTTCCTCCCCATTCATAAACTTGTATCCCCATCCCCTAAAAGATTTAATAGTGTATGATATTTACTTTCCTCTATTTACCGCTTTCAAATATAAATGCTAGTAATTAGGGTTTGTATGGAAAGGTAAAATCAATACTAGAAAACCCTAATCCAAGATAAATCAAGCATGAAATACAAAACACTTGCACACTTGCACCTTTAGGGATAACTCCACTTTGTTCCCTTAAATAAATGGTTATGTTATGCATGCGAGATGCCTTAGCAAAAATAATCAAAAATACAAGATCATAGTCCCTCGATGACGCTTCGAATGTTGTCTTATAAATGATCTTAGACCCTTAAGAAAAATGCTAAGGTATCTCACAATATTGCATTCTATGACTATACGATGACACATGCCCGTCCCTTTACATCCAAAGATAGGGTTATTTACCAATCAATGGTGAGATAACAATATTAAAGGAAGGAGTAAATGAACAAAAGACTTTTGAGTAGGTACAACATTCTTAGTTGCTTGCTCACAATCCATCTTCAAAAATAACATCATTTCAAACACACCAACACTTTCAAAAACATGAAATATTTTCAAAAGTCCAACACTTTGTATGCATTCTTATAGAGACGAGAATCATTACAAAGTTTTCCTAAACGAAGGCGCCTTTCAAAAATACTTTCAAAATCCACCACAAACACATTTCAAACAAAGTAATTTCAAAAGTGATCTAGCAAGCAACTAAGAGCCCATAGATAACTATGGATGAAAAGGGTGCTAACACCTTCACTTTTCATAATCTACCCCCCGAACTCAAGAAAACATCTCAAAGGTCTTTCTTGTTCTTTTCACCCTTTCCTTATTGGATAAAAGAAAAGTCGATGTCGACTCTTGCTATCCACAATAATTGCGATCAAACGCAAAACAACTAAGTCATCTCTTTCACCGTATCATAATATTTTATCATTACAATTATAAATTTTACTTAAAGTTACAAATGATAAAACCCATGCGGACGCATGGATATTCTGCTAGTATACATTTAAATAATAATATGGTATTAAAGTAGATGTGCTACTGTACTTGGACTTGGTATGATATCAATGTTGCTATTGCATTACAAGTTTACTTTTATTTTCGTTGTGTTTAATTTTTATGATAAACATGAAATATATTTAGATAATAATAATTATTTAAAACTTTATTATTTAAAAAATTATTTAAAAAATTATTTAAATAATATTGGGGGAAATATTACTAGGCCTTGGATAGTAATTGGTGATTTCAATAATATTTTTAAAACAAGTGACAAGATTGGTGGTAATGATGTGCAAGCCGCTGAATATGTGGATATGGAGCAGATGATGGAACATATCAGTTAGTTTGAAGATGATATTAAGGGGATGCATTTTACATGGTCAAACAAACATGTTGCTGGTTTGATCTACTCATGAATAGATAAAGCCTTGTGTAATATTGAATGGTTTATCTCTAACTATGAGATTAAGGTTCTCAAGCCTCACATTTATGACCATTCCCCTCTGTGGGTTGAGATGGACAATACAAAGGTTATTCAAAGAACTAAATAGAGATTCAAGCTTCTAAACTGTGTAGTAAAGAAACCTGATTGTATGCATATTCTGAGAAAAAAGTGGACTGTAGAGGAACCATGGAAACCTATGTATAGAGTTTGGAAAAAGATGCAAAGACTGCAAGTCAACCTCAAAAGCCTAAATAGACAAGTGACTGAGAGAGTCAGAAACATTAAGAAGAATAGAGCTAAGATTGAACAAGGTCAAACTCTGCTTACTAATGATCTGTTAAATCCTGACCGGTGTCAAGAGGTTAAGTTCTAGACTGAGAAAGTCATTGATAGTAATAAGATGGAAGAGAAAATTTTGCAACAAAAATCTAAAATTGACTAGATTGGCTTGGGGGGTGATAATAATGCTTATTTTTGGCTAATCTCAAAGCAAAAAATAAGCAAATTTTCATCAGTAATCTCGAGGATGATCAGGGGAATAGGCTCACTGAGTATACAGAGATTGAGAAGAAGATCATTGGATTTTACAGTAATCTGGTTGGAAAGACCAATCCTACTCTCACTCATGTGAATATTGATGCTTTGAGGAGAGGCACTCAACTGAATAGGGAGCAGTAAGATATGCTAACCAATCATGTGACTGAGGAGGAAATTTGGAAGGCTATCAAAGGTATGGGGGGATGATAATGCACCTGGTATTGATGGCTATAATGCAAAGTTTTTTTTATAAGTATGGCTGGAGTGTGATAAAACAAGATGTAGTTAATGTTGTCCAAGATTTCTTTTTGAATAATAGGTTATACAAGGCTGTAAATTGTGCTCTTGTCACCCTCATCCTAAAAAGTAAAGAGGCAAATACCATGAAGTAGATGAGGCCCATAGTATTTTTGTACTACTTTTTACAAAAATCATATCCAAAGTGCTCACTACTAGACTTAGTAAAGTGATTAACCACATTGTAGATGACAACCAAACAACTTTTACTCCTGGTAAAACTATCCATGATAATATTATTATGGCACATGAATTAATGAGAGGATACAATAAAAAAAAATATTTCCCCTAGATGTACTCTGCAAATTGACCTCCATAAAGCCTATGACATTGTGGAGTGGAATGCTTTGGAGAAGATTATGCAAAAGATGAGTTTCCCTAGCCAATTTATATCTTGGATCATGCTGCTGTGAAATCTGTGTCGTGTAGGTACCTTATCATTGGGCAAATGAATAACATTTTGAAGGCAGAGAGGGGTTTGAGACAAGGAGATCCAGTCTCTCCCATGTTGTTTGTGCTTACTATGGAGTATCTTCATAGATGTTTGACAACTCTGCATAGTGTCCCGGATTATAATTATCATCCTAACTGTGCCAAACTTAGAATAACAAATATTTGCTTTGCAGATGGTTTGTTGTTGTTCTCTAGGGGAGATGCAAAGTTTGTCCAACTGATGATGAAAATCTTTAATCAATTTTCTGATGCTACAGGTCTTAGAGCAAACACAACAAAGTGTAAGACCTACTTTGGAGGGACCAATGTTCAGGAGCAGAACCAGATAGCTACTAAGATCATGTTTGGGATTGGTCAACTCCCCTTCAAATGTTTGGGGGTTCCTTTATCTAGTAGAAAGTTCACCGTTAATCAATCCCAACCTTTGATGGATAGAATGTTGGCAAAGATCCAACACTGGTCGACCAAGCTGCTGAGCTATACTGACAAAAAAAAGGTTGTTAAAAGTGTGCTAATGACTACTTCTGGTTATTGGATGCAAGTTTTCCCATGTCCAAGAAAATCATCCAAAGAATTGACACTGTCTGTAGGAATTTCCTTTGGTCTGGAAAAGCTACAAGTAGGAGAGTTTTGGTTTCTTGGGATAAGGTTTATGAACCAAAGAATGTAGGAGGGCTAAATATTAAGTCTCTTCAGGTTTGAAACAAAGCTACTATAATAAAAATGCTTTGGAATCTACATGTGAAAGCTAGCAAGCTTTGGATAAGATGGAATTGATGCTTACTATATGAAGGGTAAGAGTGTTATGCAATGGAAACCTACAAATTATAGTTCTTGAATGATCAAAGGAATTATGAAGTGCAGGAGTTTGATCTTAGCCGCATATTAGCTACGAAATTTTATGGACTCTAGTATGATGTTGACCTTAGTATGAGAGACCAAAAGTGTGGATGAAAAATTTTAGAGAGACCATTCTTTGAAGAAAATGTTTAGAGAGACTAAAGTTGAAAACCACTATATTTAGAATGATCAAAAACATATTTAACCATAAAAAAAATTAATATTAAACAAAAACAATTTAAGGAGGGGTGTAGAAAGAAAAATGATGTTGGGCCTACTAATTGTAAGCCTGGCTAACAAATGAATTCGTTGTAAGAAGATCTCAATTTAAAAGAAAGAAGAGAAATGTGACAATTAATAACATAGTATAGCTTTGGGTTTATTTATTGATATTTGATAATGGAGGATTAATTCTTGTACAATGACATGACTGTGGAAACATAAATTATTGGTCCGTACTTCATACTTCATAGTATTTTACAGAATTATTAACCAGATTTAATTTTTGCATAATCAAGAGACTTCTTTCCATCATGAGCAGTTTCGTAGAAGTTGTCCATGTAATCCTGCCACAAGACTTCTCTATAACCAGCATATCCATCTTTCTTCACCAATTCTTGAAATGGACCTATATTCTCAGTAGGTTTAGGAAGAGTGAACAGTGGAACTGATACTCTAGATTGTGTGGATGTTGTCATTACTCTGTGCTCAGAACTCTTATACTTCCCATTGCTTAGTATCTTCAAGTAAAATACAAAAAGATAAATTAGTAATGGTGCAAAGTACATTAGTACAATTTTAATATATCTTCTTAAAATTTTAAATATGTTACAATTTTAGAATCAGTGTCGGTGGTGTCGGCCATCAACATTAATAGTGATTATGTTTAATTATATTTTTTATAAATTATTTTCAGTGTCGGTGTGGTCTTATTAGGTTTCCGTGCTTCATAAATTTTAGATTTAAAGATATCAAACCTCCAAGGCATCACCAACATTGACGACTAAAGCTCCATGGATTGGTAGAATTTCAAGCCATTCTTCATTTCCACCATTATTCTCATCTTCTGCTTTGACATATAAGCCACCAATTCCATCTTGAAGAAGCACAGTGATAGTTCCTGCGTCTGAGTGACGCCCTACACCAACTGTGAGTTCTGGATTTGGACATGCTGGATAGTAGTTCATGTTAACCATCTTCATACCAATAAGATTCTCTATTTTTGACTCATCTAGTTTCACCCCTAGTTTACCAATTAATATTTTTAAGATTTCTCTAACTATCTTGGATGATAGCTTCAAATACTCAAGTGCAACTTCCCTGCACATAGAAAGAAATAATAATTCAACAAAACCAATGATTTCTAATATGTCTGATGTTTTTTTCGACAACATAATATGTCTGATGTTTTGTGGTCCTTCTTTTTATTTTTTTGATAAGTATTTTGTGGTCCTTCTTGTTTTGTTTTAGAACAACTATTATTCGGTGTAGGTTGAACTAGTGAAGGTAAAATAAATGTGATGTATATTTAAGAAATTAAAAAGAAATATTATTTACATATTCCAATAATTAATGACACATTTAAAATATTTTTGTAAGTTATTTTTTTAAAATTATTTATTTATAAATATCAACAACTTATTTTTAAAAATACATAATTATAAATAAATGATATTGTAATAAATTGAATATTAACTTAATAATTTACATTAATTTAACTAAAATTATTAATAGACTTGTGCGTTCGCACGAGTCGCGTAATATTATTATAAATAATAAATAAATATAATATAGTAATACTTAAGAAAAATATATAAAAGATATATAAATTAAAAAAAAATTTAAATTATAATTTTCATATAAATATTAATGTTTTAAATTATGATAGTTATATAAATATTATTATTTTTTAAATTATAATTGTTATATAAATATTAATGGTTCAAATTATGGTAATGATGTAGAACGAAATTATGTTAATTGAATGAAATATCAACTTTAAAAGTAGAGATATTTAAAGAAAATTATAGTATATAATTATATAATAAATATATAATATGAAATAGGTGATTGACTTTATTTGATTTCGGAACAAATACTATAGTATTTTGTTTAATTACTGATCATTTTTATCCATATCTCTCTCTTATTATAATCACTCATAAATTTTTTCACATATTTTAAATAGAAAAAATCTACAAATTTAATAGATTTATTTTTTCAAAAATTATATATATATATATATATATATATATATATATATATATATATATATATATATATATATATATATATATATATATATATATATATATATATATATATATATAATCTGACCTGATCAGAAGGTTTGGACCGTCACGGCTTGCTCCGAGCTGAAGGCTTTTTGAACGAGGAGGGGGGGTACCTGCAAGGCACTCCGATGCTAAAGTCAGTGGGAGTACGAGCAGATAATAGAGTTGAGGTTAGAATGATGAATACCTGACCCTCTGGAAACAGAGGGTATTTATAGCCCCCAGCGCTGGGCCAAGGTTCCTTCATTGGGCCGGGCGGATTTGGCCCAATGGAGGAACTGCCAGGTTCTACGTGGGTAGTGGGGACCCGCACGTGGTCCCCTTCCTGGATGTGCTGCGTGAAGTGCGGGCGGACGAAGACGCGGTCTTTCCGGGGTATCGTTGGGGGAACGGTGGACTGAGTCTGCCCTAGTTGGGATGCTCGAGACAACGTCGAGCTGGACAGCAGGGTGTCGAGCTGGATGTTAGGACGTCGAGCTGGACGACATGGTGTCGAGCTGGACGTTAGGACGTCGAGCTGGACGACAGGAGGTGGAGCTGGACATCATCACGTGGGTTAGACAGCGGGATGTCGAGCTGGACATCAGGATGTCGGGCACGGATGTGACTCCTTTGCCCGGCGTGGACCTCCGTAAGTCCTTTTGGATTGGGCCTTAGTAATGCTTTTGGGCCTGTCGGGCCCAGTCCAGAACAGGAGCCCCCCAAGTCGTGGTTCCTTGGCGAGGAGCCATGACTTGAACCAAAGTTATTCCCTCGTTGAGGTCTCGTGCCCGGGATAGACGTGGGGGCCCTCGAGGGGCCTCCTCTTGTCGTGCTCGAAGACGTCCTCGGAGATGGATGCGCGGGGAATCCTTGCCGGGCGCGTCGATCGGGCACCCGAGGTATCTTTCGGGGATTGTGCCGCCACCCTATGGGGGTAGGGCCATCATTGCGTTGGGAGCAGCGCGTCGAGGAGATGGAGTCCGTGGTTGCCCGAGGTGACGTTTGGTATTCCACGTCATCACTATAAATAGGAACCTTGGGCCCCATAATACGTTTTCCGCTCTCCGTGCTCTCTCTGTTGCTGCTCTCCCATACTTTCTCCAGTCGCGGCTTCTCGTCTCAGATTCTTCCATTTCTCAGCCAAATCCCACACTTCGATCCAAGTAAGTGATCTACTTTCTTCATTTTTCCGTTTAGAATGCATGATTCCTGGAATTTGTAGATGTTTTAGGATCGTGCGCGCGGGATTAGCCTGGTAAATTCGCGTTTTGCCCGACAGATTCATGTCTAGGACCGGCAAACGCATATTTGTGGCCGACATATTCATAGTTTTAGGTGAAAAACTTCAGAGCTGCCCGGGGTCTTCATGATCCGGGGCGCCTGATCCATGACGGTGCCCGGTATGTTTATGGTCGTGGCCGTGGGCTTCATAGTGCGGCTCGCCATGTTCATACCTCGGGTCGACATGTTTGAAGAGTGGCCGCGCAGATGGTTTTGAGGAAGAACACTGGGTTCGGGAGAGTCGGGGAGACGTCCACTTGTGAAAACGGACTTGTGAAGTCGTGTATGGGACGACATGATTATGTCGAGCGTAGGACTTCGTGCTCAACTGATTGGTTTCCCGTGCTCTGCAGGTAACCATGGCGGACGAGCCGAGCTCCTCCGGACGTCGTGATCGCGAAGAACAGAGTGCCGATGAGTCGGCTACCCTGATAGATACAGTGACCGACCCATTGCTGGAATGGGTGGGTGTCGAGCCGCGGGGGACAGCGTCGATATATAGCCGGGATGACCGACATCCATTCACTGTTATTGAAGAGGGTCAAGACCAGCCCGACTTCCAGCAGAACTTCGTGGTCATGCTTCCGTCGACCAATGCAAGAATCTGCTCGGTGTATCCGAACTACAGCCTCGCGATGTATGAGATCGCGTTTAAAGACTTAGGGATGCGGCTGCCGTTCATAGATTTTCAGGCCGGGGTCTTTATGCATTTGGAGCTGGCCCCGTCCCAGCTACACCCAAACTCTCTCGCCTTCATCCGGGCGTTTGAGCTGACGTGTCGCTACTTAAGGATAGGGGCGACCATCCCTCTTTTCTTTCGGGTATTTCACCTGCAGCGTCAGTCCCGAGGAGGGAAGCACAGCTGGGTGTCCCTGAAGCAGTCGAGGAGACTGTTTAAGATGTATATGGACTCCGTGAGGGGGTTTAAGGACAAGTGGTATGTGGTACGCCCTATTACCGACTCCGCTGTAGATTCCCTCTTCGAGGAGGAAGGGCCAGTGAGCGACGATGATGGGGAAGCGATGGTGGCCGACGACGGGAGCCCCGTGTTAGGTCGTAGGGCTAAGTTCCCGGTGTACTGGATGTCCCGACATTACGATCATGGGACAGGTTATTTCCATACCGCTGTCGGGGACATGTGCTCGGAAGATCAGCGGGCGTACGAGGCTCTTTGCAACTTTGTCGACAGTTTTCACCCCGCCCGATGGGTTACGCGGGAAGGGGATGATATCCTTGACAAAGACGGTTACCCGACGTTCGAGTCTCGCCCGATCGACACCAAGGCGCTGGTGGAATGTCCGACATATAGGCAGGCTGCCCGCCTGTTAGGTTGTTCGCTTGAAATTCTTTTATTCGTCATTTATTCATGTAGTTTACTCGATACTGACTTTTCCTTTATTTCGTGCAGGTACGATGGCCAGCCGACATGAAAGGCTCCTGAAATTATCAACCGACCAGAAGCGAGGCAGGAGGGTCGTAAAGGCCCCGCAGACGACGAGAATGGGACCACCACCAAGTCTGAACGCTCCTCAGCCGGTGAGGGTGGATTCGACGTCGAGCTCGGGAGCAGCGTCAGATCCAGAGGTCGAGGAGATTGACCCCAGCGCCGTTTTGACGCAGAGGAAGAGGACCCGCGTGGAAGGCGGTTCGACTGTCGGGGAAGATGCCGGTGCTGTTCAATCTTTTGCCTTCCCCCCTTGCTTCGAAGAGGCGGGCTTTTTCGAGCGATTCCCTCCGACAGTGGTCGCTCATGAAGCTGAGGCCATAAAGAAGATGAGTAAAGAAGAAAGGAAGGCCTATCTGGCCGCCAGCGTGGACGGGCTGGTAAAAATGGCCGAAATGGCTTTGGTGTTATCTGAGGATGCAGGGGATGCTGCTCGTGTTGAAGAGCTCGAGCAGGAGAAGGCGGCCTTGACTGCGAGCTCGCGGAAGTTGAAGGTCGCTCTGGAACGCTCCGAGGAGATGTTCCGAGAGCAGACCGCGATACTTGACGCCGAGAGGGAGATGCTGACCCTGGAAAAGGAGAAGTCGGGGAGGTTGACTGAGGAGGGGGAGTTGCTCCGGACCGACAGGGATCGCTTGGCTGCCGAAGTCGAACGCCTGGGTAAACAGGTTGAGGAAATGAATGCTGTCCTGCAACCTGCCGAAGATGAGCCCGAGGACATAGTGACTTTGAAGAGTCGGGCTGAGCTGGTCGCCCACATCCGGCTCCTCGAGGCGGACTGCGTCGGTGCTCTGGAAGACGGGTTCAATTCTGCAGTCGATCAGCTCTCATTGCTAAACCCCGGTCTGATTACTAAGGGTATCGGTCACACACACCGGGTTGTAGGTGGCATGATCGTTCCTCCGCCCGACTCTCCTGGCGTCGACAATGATGATAATGTGGAAATTTGAGTAGGATAGCGGGCCTGCGTGCCCTTGATATTTGTATTCGTATTCTTTGGGCCTGCGTGCCCGTTTATTGTATGTTTTGAACACCGTCGGCCTTCTTGGTCGGTTTAATATTGCTTTGTTGCCTTCGGGCGTTTATACCTTGTTATTCATTTTGGATTTTTTTGCCCTTGTTTGAAATCACATGCTCGTATGGATTTAGCCTAAGCCACGGGCTCGAGGAATGCCCGTGGGTGGTTTTGACTTGGCGAGCGAATCTGCTCGTCTCCACTTGTATGCAATCTCGGCCCTATTTTGATTGGCCGGGGTTGCCTAAGTGTTGCGCTCGAGGGGAGAGATTTTCTTTTGACCCTTGTAGATGTCCCGTTATTC